ATTTTTTTCAAAGAGGGCTGGGAGGAAAAAAGTGTAAGTTTTCCCTGTCCCTGTTGCAGCTGTTGATACTAAATTCTGCTTTGGCTTGCAAAGCAGAAACTCGGCAATCTCAGCTTGGAACCAGCAAGCACATCGGTTCCAAGTCACTTCACTCTGAACCCTTATATGCTCAGCGGAAGGTGTCCTAGTGTCTGTTGCACAATCTGTGGGTGAGTCCATGGTGTAAAAGACAGTGAAGGAGCGGGGGGTGGGTTTGGCGCTTCTAGGAGATTCCTTTTTGAGACCCAAGAGTTGTTTCGGGGTTTGCCGGTGGACACCGCCACTGCCATAGTGAACCAGTCGTCGTAGCGAAGTGTTGCATGCTGGTTTTCGGAGTAGATGATCGGACATGAACTCTTTAACCCCGTTACATGTGACTTATTATTTGTATTAATAACTGTATTGGGGTGGTCTGTATTGATTGCGGATTTGTCCAGATAACGTGATTTCTGAATTGTAATACAAAGGGGTACTTAATTATTTTCTAACATTGTGCAGTGCACGTCCACGAAGCGGAGACAGCTGGGTTTGAGTCTGGGATGTCCTAGGATGTTTATAGTGAAAAAGGCCTTTTAGGCCCCATGCAAATGTCCTGAGGTCCCCCCTATAAAGGCCCACATAGTGGTTGTCCAAGGTGGGATGAGGGGAAGTGGGGATGATGACTAACTGGCTAGAATGGGAAGAAGCAGCAGTCCAAATAGGGATGAGGGGAAAACGCAAAAGATACATTACAAGCGGCGAAAGTGCTGAAGGTGATCCGTGGAGCTCAGGTGTCAGGGCCCGGCCTCTGTCCGGGGGCGGCCCTACCTCAGAACTGGACACTTGCGGTGTCCCAGGCAGCCAAGTGCTGGATCCTACCCCAAGCTCCTCAAACTCACTAAGCGGGGATTGAGTTGTCATGTATTATGGAAGGTAACTACAACTTGCCTAAGCAGGGATTGAGTTGAGAAGAAGGGTAAGTTTCCCTATTCCCTGCTTGGCTACTATAAAAGGGAAATGTACTATACAGTTTGTAACGTGACTAAGGGTAGGAGCCGAGCATGTTCCCGCAATGTGGAAAAGGTGTCACGTGGGTTAAGGCGAGTTGCTCGCCTTGACCCACGTGATTTTTCCTGCAGGTTCGCGTGCGGGCTGTAGTTGCGAAAGGTGTGTGAAGATGGGAGGATGAGGGAAGTGGGGGGAGGTCAGGGAAGGTGGTTCTGGGGTTGTATGGTCAGGCATGGTTGCCCTGACATCAGGGGTTACGGAGGTTATGGAGGCAGGGTTGAAAGTCCGAGGAATATTGGCAATGGTGTTTACGTAGTGTGAGGTCACCAATGCAATGGACTAAAGCCGAGGTGGAGTCAAAGTCCGAGGTAGGAACTATGATGGAGTCTCGGAGCGAAGTGTCAGGGCACACCTGTTAGAACGGGCGGAAACAGACAACTCCAGAGTGGAATTGGAGACTTAGCATGGAGGGACCTTGGCCTCAGTGACTCAAGCGGAGCGCTGTGCCATTGCTGTTTGTCCATTTGGTCCTTAATTTCACAGTAGGTGAGCAGGAAGTCTCTAGGGGGCATTTCAGGTCGATTTCGGACTGAACCAAAACGAGTATGTACAAGCGCCGATATATATAATGGAGGGGGAAAAAGCACAAGGAAAACAAAGGGTAACCGAATTGGAATGAAGACGTCCGAACGGGAACAAAGGGTAGAGGAAGCGGAGCGGTACCGAAGGTCATAAGGCAAGACCTGTGATACATCCGAAAGGAGGTAGGGAGGGCGAGGCCCAGAGGGGCAGGAGGATGAGGGGAAGTGGGGATGATGACTAACTGGCTAGAATAGGAAGAAGCAGTAGTCCAAATAGGGATGAGGGAAAAACACAAGAGATACATTACAGGCGGCGAAAGTGCCGAAGGCGATCCGCGAAGCTCAGAGGTTGCGGAGGTTACGGAGGTTATGGAGGCAGGGTTGAAAGTCCGAGGGATATTGGCAATGGTGTTTACGTAGTATGAGGTCACCAATGCAATGGACTAAGACTGAGGTGGAGTCAAAGTCCGAGGTGGGGACTATGATGGAGGCTCGGAGCAAAGGTACGAGCGGTGTCCGAGTACGAAGTACGGGACAGCGGTGGAAGGTCGTAACTTGGCAGAAGGGTGGCGGAGGAGTACCAGAGGGAGGAGAGAGGGGAAAGGTAAGGAAGAGGGAGTGACGGAAAGGAGAGTTGTCAGGTCCGAAGGTGAGTATCGGAGCGGACAGGGGAAGCGTAGGAGGATGACGGGAGGGTGGAGGTGTTGTGAAGGAGGAGCGGAGTAGGAGGGTGGAGAAGTAGTAGGAGGGTGGCGAGAGGGGCGGTGTTCGGTCCGAGGTGAGTATCGGAGCAGACGGAGATAGGGTAGGAGAGGGAAAGAGGAGTAGGGGTGGCGTGGGGGGTAGAAGGAGGTGTGTTGCCAGGACCGAAGGTGAGTATCGGAATGGCAGCAGTAGGGTATGACTCCGGAGGTGAAGAGGGTGGAGGTCCGGAAGTCGGGTAGTGGTCAGGTATGCACGGATATGACAACACCCGCCTGACCCGGCTCCACCCGGCCCAACCTGACCCGGTACCCTGCTGCCCACCCTTCCTTGCCTCCTCCCCCTTTCCCTTCCTCCCTCCTCATCCTCCCCTCCTCACTTCCTCCTTATCCTACTTCTTCTTTATTTCTCTCTTTATTCTACATGGACGACTTTCTTTGTATCAATGTACCATTGACCCATCTGCAGCGCGCCCACCATGCACCCGGACCGGGCACCTCAGGCGACTTCCTGCTGTGCCCAGTATGCGCGCCTGCACCGGATGCCCTCGGGATCTCCCACGGAGATACCCGGGTGGTTACGGCTGCGTGCGAGGGTGACGTGGCATCCATCATGTGATCTAAGCTGCATGTATATAAACGAACCTGAAGTGGGAACCGAAGAAGTAGCCTTCTTCTCAACTTTCCACTTCAGGTAAGCAGTACAATATTTCTCCTTTAATGATAATAACAACTTTCCACTTCAGTCTAAGTGGCCAGGGACCACTGTCCCGCATCGGGCCTGTCAGTACGCATGCCCGATCCGCCCCCCACCAGGCTCTCAGCCCCGGACGCTACACCCGGGCCCCCTCGACCCTGGACGAGTCCCTGACACGAAGGTACGAGCGGTGTCTGAGTACGAGGTACGGAACAGCAGTGGAAGGTCGGCAGAAGAGGGCCAGAGGGAAAAGAGAGGAGAGAGGAAAGGGGAGAGGAGTGGAGGAGAGGAAAGGTGTGAGGTCCGAAGGTGAGTGTTGGAGTGGATGGGAGAAGGGTAGGAGAGTGATGGAAGGGTGGAGGTGTTGTGAGGAGGAAGAGGAGGAGTGGGAGGAGGAGTAGGAGGAGGGTGGCAAGAGGAGTGGTGTTCGGTCCGAGGTGAGTATCGGAGTGGATGGAGATAGGGCAGCAGAAGGATGGAGTATTAGGATGTTAGCGATTTACGCTAGCATTTTACACTCAGTCAATCGTTGTTGAACTAATTACCTAGCGTTTTACGCTAGGGCATATGAAGATACATGAGTGACAACACAACATGTGGTAAAAGCGTAGTCTCACCTCAGTCAATCGTTGTTGAACTGAGGGAGACGAAAGTGAAAAATTCTTCACTGCTTTTATAAGCAGTCACCTCAATGGCGCACTGACTTTGGTAGCAGGAATACCAAGAAAGGAAATATAGCGCCGCTAGCTCAACATCACATTGTGAGTTGGCCACAGCGCACTATAACTCCCAAGAAAACCAAGATTTCAACATGGAGAAGTGGAGGTGGCAAGAGGGGTGAGAGGAGGTGTGGTGTCAGGACCGAAGGTGAATATCGGAACGGACAGCGGTAGGGTAGGACTCCGGAGGTGGTGAAGATGGAGGTCCGGGAGTCGGTTCGGGATCGAGTATGTACGGATATGACATTAACTACTTATACCGCTGTGCGGTTACAATATTAAGTTGGTTGTTCCCCATTATCTGAGTGTCCCCGCTGAGAGCTACATAACAACAGACTCATATCGGACTTTTGCTGATGCCTGGGTTATTCATCCAAATTAGGTGTGCGGTTTTTTCTGTCACTTGTTGTATATTTCCTACATTGGAAAGGGCTGGGATCACATGGACTGATATTTCTGACGCCGGAAAGGGGTGTGGAAATTTAGGGCCTAAGCGCAGTTTCTTGGTATCTTGGTAGGCAGGTGACCAGCCTCTCCTTATCGGGAGGTGTCCGGGGTGTTCAAGTGCCTGGTTTTGTGGGGTTTGATCTGATCAGTCAACGAGGTCCAGTTACAACCTTAGCTGGATTGTAGCGAAATTGTCACACTTTTCCCCACCTTGGAAAGCGAGGGCTGATGTCTAGAGAGATCAAACCACCCACATAACCTGCTAACCCTCACAAGATCCCCTATCAATGATGGACGATAACAAAAAATCCAGGACACCGGCAGCTGAACTCCAGAAATCAGCCAACCCGGCTAACATCTGCCAAGCCAACATCAAGAGAGCCACATGCAACTCACGCTCGGGCACACCATGCCAAGCGCACCAAATGACACCACATGGGAACGGAGCAACCTCAATCAGGGGCCAAACCGGCACAAAGCCCACAGAACAACATGACTCCTAGGCTGGAAAATAGCTGCTGTGGATATGATCCGAACAACCACAGGAAACAACGGCAATAGCACTGTAAGTGATACATATATTTATATTCCCATTGGCCTGCACTGTAGAGCCGACACTTTTTGGACGAACCTTTCACTTCTACTACAACTAAATATTCCCGAGATGCCGGAATGCCCGGGGATTGCGCACTGGCAAGTGAAGCCCGAGACCAGATTAAGGTTTTCACCAGCTAGGCATGGCTTGTTCTGCACCTCTGCATACGCTAACATTACTAGAAGCTTCAAGCCGCATGGCTTCCGCGTGTAAAATGGCATAATTAGCAAATGTCTAGGCAAAATACATGAGGTCGTTTTTCTTCTTGCTTTGAACTGTGATTGAAAAAGGCATGTTAACGCCAGGGAACGAATATCGCAAAGGGAGAGGTTGGGATACCTTCTGCTATTCCGCTGTGGAAATGCTCATGGTTTAACTGAGTGGCACCTTCTCGAAGCGCAATCATACCCGCCTCGACACAGACCTAAGAATCAGGCGTTCAGGAAACCATGCGTAAAAAAAGAGAAAAAAAAAAGCAGCTTACAGCTTTCAGTTGGGCACCGTTAAACTCGTCTGTGCTGCGGGCCAATTCCTCGAAGTTGACGCCAAGTCCAACGTTCATCTTCCGTGAGTGAATTTCCATAATACGTGCACGGGCGGTTTCATTCGGTAGAGGGAATTCGATTTTGCGGTCAAGACGACCTGATCGAAGGAGAGCAGGATCCAAAATGTCGATTCGATTGGTGGCAGCGATGACCTGGCAAGGACGTAACCTGATAGTCAGTTGGCAGTAATGGAGAGTAAGAACAGAATTCCACCTTGATTCTTTCGTCGCTTCCAAAGCCATCTAGTTGGTTGAGGAGCTCTAACATGGTCCGCTGAACTTCACGATCGCCACTCTTATCCGAATCAAATCGCTTCGTTCCGATAGCGTCCAACTCGTCAATAAAAATGATAGCGGGCGCTTTCTCCTTTGCCAGCTCGAATGCATCCCGCACAAGCTTGGCACCATCACCAATGAACATCTGAACAAGACTCGGCCCTGCTAGCTTGAGATAGCAAGCGTCTGTCTGTGCCGCACAGGCTCTAGCAAGCAAAGTCTTCCCAGTACCAGGTGGCCCGTACATTAGAACACCTTTCGGGGGTTTGATACCAAGTGTCTTGAACTTATCACCTTGTTGCATGGGAAGGACAATGGCTTCGACGAGCTCTTCAATTTGTTTATCGAGACCGCCTATATCGGTATATTTCTCAGTCGGACGTTCGTCGACTTCCATGGCTTTGACGCGCGAGTCGTATTCAGCTGGGAGGGTATCGAGGACAAGGTAGGAATCTTTGTTCACGCCAATGAGGTCGCCTGGCTTGAGTACGGAAGATGGGACTAATCCGATGAGGGGAAGGAAAATGGTCTAGTAAGAAATTATTCCATTAGATAGTAAACCCGGCAATTCAAGGGTCGATCCCACTTGTCGCGTCGAAGTCTTGATGACAGCACACTTGCCCTTGCGCATAGAGTCAAGGTCTTGGTTTGCGCCATCCTCTTCAACGTCCGGGTCGACATCAAGGATCTTGCAATATGAATGAGTGTCTGACCTGATATAAATAAATAATACATACTCACCTCCACAACATTGCCCACGAGATAAGGCAACACTTTATTTTGTTTTACTTTCTCGCCACTATCTCTTATCTTCTCCTGCATGGCTGCTTGCTCGTGTTGTAACCGTTGCATCTCGGATCTCATCACCTACAAGTCATGCCGAGTTCGTCCGCCAGAACTAGAAGGACAAGCGCACAGCATCACGCACTCGAAGATCGTTATCTATCAACCGTGTCCGCGTCTGAATTTCCTCAGCAGTAGCATTCCTTACATCTTCCGGAATGTCATCCCAAGTTTCCACAGGTGGTTGGTCAGGCGTTGTGTCCATGTGAGAGTCAGAAGAATCGGCAAGCAAAGGGGTGGCTTCGTTTTCTGAATCGGAAGATGAGGAGGACTGTTCACCATTACCATTGGAGGGGGGCTGACTTGGAGGTTCCTGTGATGAAGACATTATGGCAAACAGTCTATCGAGGACGCGTAACACGCTGAATGAATAGGCTGAATTCAATCGGCAAATTCCCTTCTCGGACTCTGAAATTTCGCCCCATCCCAACTGTGCAAAGCACCATTGGTGCGGCTATTTGGACATATGTACCTGAGAAGCAATTGTGTAGGTGACATATCGCCTGCCCCGGTTCCACCCCACCTCGTCAACTCATAGCGTGCCAAACTTGAATTGTGCTGTATTTAAGGTGATTGCCACGGCCCCTAGAACTCAGTTCCATGCTTTGACCTGGAATACACCCGACTAAGACGAATTACCACAAAGGCTCTAAATCATTTAGTTCATGCACGTTCACTCCCCTCCAGAGTAACACCTGAGCAGCTCTATATATTGCGAAATCAATACAACAATCCTAGCATCTCATGGTGGAAGGGATTCTGCGTATCTGTCCAAGATGAAAGAACGAACACAATTGTAAGCCGGAAAGACCAATTAGTTTGTCGGAGATATCAACGCACCCCACCAATTCCCCCATGTCTGCTGTATTCTCCATGCTCTTGTTCAACAACGCCGCCGTCCTCTTGATCAGTTCCCCAGTTTCGGACGTCCCGTTCAACATCCCGTTCATGTAGAGCGCTGCTTTCTGCAAAGGTTTATAGCTTTCCCCAGGTCTCACAGCGAACACTGTACGCTTAATGCTACTCTCGATAAGGTGCATCCTCGTGTTCGTGATGAGCCTTGAATGTTCCCATTGCCCAGCATAGGTCAACTCCAACGCGTTGAATAATGTTCGGGCGAAGAAGTAGCAGTTGGTCGCCAAGAGACGATAGCTTTTCGATTCCGGTGCCGTCGATTCCATCGCCAGGCATAGAGGTTGCATAAGTGGATACGAGCTCGAATTGCCCAAGTCGCCGTCTGCCATAAAGTTGTAGTCGAATTGATGAGGGGGTAGGACTGATTCGCCTGCTCGTTGGGCGGCTTCACGGTCTCCGCGAGCACGGTCCAAGTACCACATATCATCAGGAATGAGAAGAGTCTTTATGATCCTTTGACGCTTCATGAATGGGAGTGCGCTAAGGTCCGTAGGGGCTTTGGGACATGGCATGATGATAACGCGATCTTCTGCCGGACCGGGATTGAAAACCTTCATTGCATCTGAGATTGTCATCTCCGCGATGTCTTGGCTCCTCAATGTTCAAACGACCAAAGTGAACCAATAGCTAAATCAAACGATCGGAATTAGCTCGATGTATTTTACTCACTTCTTTTGCTCGGGAGAGGTCCCAGATCTCTCCATGATGATCCTCCAACTAGTGAACATGGCCCCAATCCCGACTTCCACTGTTCTGGCGCCTTTTCCCTTCCCTGCCTCCCCACCGGCTACCTCACTACCCCCATCAGCCTGCAACGGCCCCCAAACGTGCAAATCAAACTCTCGTGAAACCCTCTTTTCGCCTCCGTACTCTTCACCAAATCCACACGTCTAATGGCGGTTAGACGTCTATAAGGTGAGGAGAGTAACCATTGACAGAAAATTTCCACCGACATTTGACGTTGGTCGGGCATTCGTACACTGGTCTCCCCTTACGTACACGGAAAGGCCAGAAGACCATATTTCGGCTTTGAGACGAAAAGAGGGGCAAACGCTGCCGAGAAGACTAACTTACGAGCAACCGTTCGGGAGAATCGTACGCCCATTTGGAGGCAGGACTGATGACTATGATCGCTAGAAACTACTGTGAGTGTCTTATGATACCGGGGCTATGGTCAACGTGAGGGAAAGGTGGGAATGCGCGCAATGATGAGGCAGTGAGGCACGCTGGGCACGAGAATGATTGTCTGTGCCCCCTGGGCTGTCCAACAATGCTAATCTTCGGGTAGCGCAACAACCGACCGAGTTAGAGGGCCACAATAACCCTTGACTTCCCACTGCATGCACTGCGACACATGGAAGCACGCTGTGTGGCCATGCTCGCGCGCGTGGGACCAGAAATCGTGCATGAGGCATCTCTAGCCGATGATATCACGAACCTCATGTATTGTTCAAGTAAACGTAAACTCCATTTTACTTATGTAAATAATATTACGAAGTCAGAGAGGCTCAGGGAGTCGGCCTGCTTAAACTCCATGCTTCACGCCAATACAGTTCCGGGCTAATATCAGCTCACTCGCCTTCACTTTGCTCATTAAGCGATTGAGGGCATAATTAAGTCCAGAACGGGGATGTACATATGTTCGAGAGGTCCAGCTAGGGTCACTCAGCATTCCGGCCCGACCTGTAGTACGTGAACTGATAAAATTATGTTTCCATACTCAGGTGCACTGACTTTGGCAGCGAGCAAACCAAAATGGTAAGAAGGGAAAATCCAAGACACCTCAACATCAACAACGGTGAGTTACCCTCAGCGTACCGTGTACGTAACGCTTGGAATCTCAATAGGGGTGTTGGGTGTCGATCCCCGGATTCGATCAAGGAATCACCTTGTATGCATGCATGCAGCTATGTAGCAGCACGGTGATGGATTGGCAAACGCTCCAGGGAACCAATATTATTTTTTTCTTTCACCAGCAAGCATCTTCATGGAATGGCCTGGAAATATACGATCAAGTGTTATATATGGGACTTGACCTGCCTCAAACCGATCTCCTGCCCAGAAACAAGTCGTCGCCCCCAACCGATCAGTGATCATAATTACAGTGGGCCGTGGTGCGCGGGGAGCTAGTTCGGAAACAATGTTGATTTTTTTCCTCTCTTTCACATATAGCTGTACTGTGCATATGTCGTCCGCTTTTGGTGAAAGATGGAAGACTAGTCTAGCTGGGCAGCTGAGCCAGGGAATTCGTTCGGATTGCAGGTCGCACACATGCAGGGATGCAAAGTCTATGCTGTACATTTGGCCATTGCTATCAACTATGAATCGTCCACAATCTACTGTTAATTCTGCTGTTTTCAACCTCAACAGGTATATGTTCCAAACAACATTCCGTGTATGCCCCGCCGGTATGATTCAATTCCCATGGCTTCCTTTGATAGTTGTACGTGTATACATGTAGCGTTGGCGTGAGCTAGTGAACATGACAACAGTCGTTGGAAAGCAAAAATGACGATCGAAAGCGAGGAGCAGGTATCAGACAGTTGTAGTTATGGTATACGATCACAAGGATTCTGTACCAGCCAGGGAAAGGAGTTAAGAGGGGGATGACGACGACGACGACTCGCGCGCGACGCAGACTACCAATCAATGGGCAGGAAAGGGAAAGAAAAGAATGGAAAGAGGAAAAGAAAAAGGAAAAGGGAATAAACACAGTTGAAAAGTAAAGCAAGCACACGAGTCAACGGTGACTACCTCGTAAGAAGAAGAAAAAAAAGTGGAAACGTCGCAAGCAACGAACAACTTATCAACACCAAAATCGACGAATAAGAATACCACCAATCAATGGCAACGAGAGAGAAAAAAAGCCGATCGATCGATAGGGCCTTTGCTCCCCTGGCTTTCACCGCATTTCGCGAGACATCCAAGCTCTCCTCCTCCCATGATGTCTCTTCTCCAACCAGAACTCGTCATCTCCAGCAACGTCAGCAGTCCTCTTAGGATGCATCGCCGAACGAGTCATCGTATTCGATTCGTGCTCACTACAATCCCCCACATCATGCAGATGTGTAGGAACAGAGGCGTGACTGGTGGTCGTGTGGTTGTGAGTGGGCATGTGCGTAGGTTTCACGTGCAGAACGGAATTCCGAATGGACTCGATGATCGAACTGGTGGGTATCGGATCGGGCTTACCATTCTTTCCAAGAGGGACGGTAAGCGTTAACGTAACGACGGTGTAGGAGGGTGTGTGGGATCCTTTGTGGGAGATGGATGTGGGCACGGGAGTCGGGGAAGTGATGGTGGTAGTAGCATTGTTACCAACGTTCAGAGGAACACCAATGGACGTGGTAGGGAGGGACTTGACCACAGCAGTACTCATCTTCTTTGACGGCGTCGTGCTAGTATTCTTATCTCCTCCCCCATTACCCAAACCTCCACCAGTGCCCAAAAGAGACGCAAGGGGAGGACCAGGGAACTTGCCAGCATAATTAAACCCAGCTTGATAAACGTCAACTAGAATACCAGGATCACTAGCTTTATAGGCCCCAGGGAACATGGTGGTCGGCACGGTCGAAAGAGCCGAGGTCGAGGCTTTCCCACCTGATATGCTCAACTGCATACAAGAAGGGTAGAATTCAGCTCCACCTGAACTCTGAGCACGGTGAAGGGCGATCAACTCGGATCTGAGGAGGTATTGACCATCTGGTAGACCGGTAGGGATTTGAACGCTGTAGGGTTCCCCATTGAAGAGATCCTTCATGTACCAATCGCCTCCGGGACTTTTCTGACCCAATTCTGAGATCTTGAACCACTTGTTGGACGTCCCCTTATCGGTTTTGCAGTCGTTGTTTTCACAGAGGGCCATGTAGGTCATGATGGGGCCCATAAAATGAATCCAGTGGGCAGTGTACGAATTTGCCCACTACATCAACCGGTTGAAGGAGCGCGACAGGGTGCATACAATGCGAACAAGAGGATGGAAGTGGTCAGCGTGTTGATACATGATCCGCTGGGAAAGATGGAGGGGGGAGACCAGAGGCTTACCAAGATCTTAAGGTTCGAGCCAGGCTTAGCGGGCGCAACTTCGGGGGCGGGACCTGTTGAATAACCACATGACATGTCCATCGAAGTCGGATCGGTAACAGGACCATTTTGGGAGACTTGACGAATCATAGTGTCCATAGGAGGACCACCAGGAAGGGCACCTTTATAGCTCTGGCCATCGATAGTCACTTGAAGGACACCACCATGAGCGGAGACAGCTTGAAACGAAGAGAATAACGCGATGGCGCCGAGAAATACACGGGAGGTGGTTGGGAGCATGGTGAGTTGGGAAACGGGTGTTGTAAAAAAAAAAAAAAAAAAAACAAGAAATATGGTATGTAGTTGGGGCGCGAGCCGATCAGAGAGAGTGGCTTGATACAACAAGAGTGCAAGTGCGGAGGGAGAGGCGTGCGGCGCTGTTCAAAAGAAAGGAAGAGAAAGAGCAAGCAAAGCAAGACGAATGGAGAAGGGAGGAGGTGAGAAGGAGGGGTGAGTGGAAGGGTGAGTTGGAAAGAACAAGCAAAAGGAGGCAACGGGCCTGATCTTAAATACGGTATCACCGAAAATATTGAAGCAGGTGGGGGTTACGTGGAATTCATACGGTCACAAAAAGGAGCGGGAATCGATTCCCTTATTCCCTTTTGTGTGGTCGTTGATGTGACTGAGACAGAAACATGATCTTCGAACAAAGACAAGAAAGACTCTCTTTGTTGTAGCCAGAACCCCTCCGTCCTATAGTGATCCTATCATCAAGCCAACAAACTAGCACTTCCCTCAGCGTACCTCAGGCATGTAGCTCATCGCAGTCGCCGGCGAATGCCCCGGGGAGATAAGAAACGTTGCCCCACAAAAAGGACCCATTGATTACGTAACCAACTAATGCCTTGTTGCCATTTGATTGAATGGTCACCGAGGTTGGAACCATTCGACTGCTTTGGCCATCAGGAGGAAAACGCATTGGTGGAAGAAAAAAACAATGTAGGTCAATGTGGCTCCATCAATTAAGTTTTCGTTGGCCTCAGTCGAACAAAATCCGCGAATTTGCCGCCCGGTATTGGTGGTTAATAAGGTTGACGACGATATTCATTGTAATTAAGCTACTTGGCCTTTGAGAAATGCGGGGGTTGTAACCACTTCACACTATGTATAATATGTATGTACCGAGAAAAATTTAACGTTGCTACACACTGATGATGGAGGCTGGTGACCTGCCTACTGCGATCGACAGGCGATCGACTGCCGTCGGACATGGAACATGTTACCATCACATCAGCGGCGCCCGACGCGACGACGCCACCTTGATTCGGGCTGTCCCCCGAGTCCCCACCGTCATCTGGCGCACATATTATTAATGTATATACATCCATGAACCGCGGCGATCTTTCCAACCTACCTCGCCACATGTGCAGACAAGATCTTCGCCACCTCTTCAATATTCGTAGTCTAGGAAGAAAAAAATAAATGTCATTGAGAGGACAGAAAAATTTGAGAGTGCAGTCGATATAGACATACCTTTTTCCCTCCTTTCCGTGTGGGGGGTTCGGTGACTTTAAGTGTCTTGAACGCAGGTTCAAAGTTAATACCGAGATCGGAAGGTGTGATTTTCTCTATAGGCTTCTTTTTGGCCTTCATGATGTTTGGCAGAGAGGCGAAGCGGGGCTCTAAGGTAAGACAAGAGAAAAGGAAAAGGTACCTCTCAGCATTCTTTTTCGGTAGGGCCAAAGCAAGAACGAGCAAGACACGCTCACCATTCAATCTAGCCCCAAAGAAGAGCAAGGCAAGTTTCAGCCAGTCGTCAGCCAACTTCATCGGTTGATCGGGTGGTCGCGTTTCCGCGCTCCATTCGCCCCACACAAAGATGGAAACACGGTAAAGCTCACCAACTCACCTCAAGTCCGTAGTGATAACAACAGGCAACCTAACGCTCAATTCCTCCGCTCCACCATCCACCTCTCTCATGATATCCACACCTTGTCCATCCTCCCTCACGTCCACTCTGCTCACGAACGTAGCTTGTCCCCATCCTAACAATCCAGCGAGAATCTGTCCCGTCTGCCCTGCATCATCATCGATAGCCTGTTTACCCATAATCACCAGATCCACTTTCTCTTTCTCCTTCCCTTCTCCTCCTTGCTGCTGCTTTTGTATGATAGCTTGAATGACCTTGGCGACGGTGAGAGGTTCAGGCAAAGGATTCGATTCAGCCGTTTCGACATGAATAGCCGAATCGGCGCCTAGGGCGAGGGCCGTACGGAGCGTTTCAGCGGATTTGGGAGGTCCGATGGTGAGTGCCGTGATGTTGGTGATCGGGAAAGGAGAGTTGGATTTTTGCGCACGCTCGCGGAGGCGAACGGCTTCTTCTATAGCTGGATTTTTGGTATTTCAATGTGGTCATGGGGAGAGAATGGAGAATTTGTAAGTTGGGGAATTCGAGGAAGGGCATTTTGGCGGTTTAAGCGTACCTATCTCATCGAATGGGTTCTAAAAAAGAGAAGTCATAGTTTGATAGCACAAAAAGCTTAGGCCACTAACAATAACAGAGAGAGAATGTATAAAACGGAACTCACCATCGAATGTTTAACATTTGTATCAACCCCCGTCTGTGCTGCGTTCACGCGAATCTTCACAGCATAATCTACACACCTTCAACAACAGAAGAAGTTTGTTCCGCAAGCAATTTTATATGAAAAAGAATCCTTAGAGTTTAATCGGGATATAGATGCAGATCGTACCGCTTGACGGGGACGAGGACCCGTAGGTTGAGGATTGGAGTTGGACGCATCAGTCGGAAGAAATAAAGCCAGAGCCGTGAGAAAATCCAATTGTGCGTGGCTATGCGGATTGTTGATCTCGTGATGCTTGTCGCCCGATCTTCTATTCACGTCAGATATTACCAGAATCCCCACAGAATCCTGGAAGTATCCGACACTGGATATTGAAGTATTCCACATCGAATATAACCAGTTACCCCCCGTCATATTGCTCGGATATTGTTGGAGTTACAATGACGCGTGACTCACTAACCAAACTCACATGATCTTACTTTTCGTTTCCATTGTATTGATACCGTGACTGCATTGTATATAGGTAATTGTTTGGGTCTATTTTCTTTTTCCCCTCAGTTCTTCATTTATGGAGACTGAGGTCAGTATCATTAGTTTTAGTTACTAGTTACATTACTTGTACTATAGCTTCCGTGTTAGGTTAGTACTAACCGTAGTAATTCAGTTCTTCATTTACGGAGACTGAGCTTCCGTGTTAGCCCTCCTATTAGGTTATAAGCCCAGAGGCTCTCTAATTCTAACCAGAAAGAACTCCCATCAACCCAGTATCAACCATGACCACCATGACCACAAAGTCGATACCAGAATCTTCGAGAATGATCGGCTACAAGCTGATGGATTGAACTATGGAACTTGGAAATCAATGATTGAACCTGTACTCGAGAATCATCATTTACTGGAATATGTTGATGGTTCAATCCCTAAACCTTCCTCCACTCCCCCTGCTCCTGCACCCACTACTGCACCTGCCAATACTGGTACAGGTTCAGGAAACACTCCCCCTGCTACTCCTGCCCCACAACCCAGCACTGTGTTAACTCCACTCCAAATATGGAAAGAGGGTAATTCTGCGGCTTTACTCCAACTTGTCGTGTCCATCGATGAGGAAGTCAAACTCCTCATAAAGGGTATCAAAGAAGCTCCTATAGCATGGGCGGAAATCAAAAAGAAGTTTGAAGGAAAAGGTGCGAAGTCTGTCTTTTACCTTATGAAGAAACTCTTCCACACCATTATGCTTCCCAAAAAGGACATCTACAGTCAAATTCAGGAGCTAAAGGATTTGTTCATTAAACTAGACTCACTCAGAACCAACAGTTGCCATACTCATGGCACTTCCGGAAGAGTGGGAGATGATTCAGGAAATTCTCTTGAATAAGGACAAACTTACCCTGCAAGACACTATCAACGTGATCCTCGTACACGAGAGTAAACTCAAGCACAAGCAGGAAACTGCTATGCTAGTCCGAGTTGGGAAGGGAACCCCGAAAGGGAAGGCCCCTTCAGGCCAACTGAGTCAAAGATCTAGGGAGGGAAACAAATTAACGTGCGGTAACTGCAAGAAAGAGGGGCACACTGCAGAGCAATGTTGGGCAGAAGGAGGCAGGGCAGAAGGGAAAGCCCCAAAGGGAAGAGGTCCGAGATGGAAGAAGTCGGGGAAAGGGCAATCAGCTAGAGTAGCTGAAGCCGAAGAATCAGGAGAGGGGTTATTGGTATACCTCATGCATGAGACCCTCGAGTCTGAGACTGCGCTAGTAGCCTCAAAAACTTCCCCCTTCACCCACTTTGTCATCAACACAGGGGCTTCATCGCATATGACCCCTGACTCCTCAATGTTCTCGACTTATCAGAAACTCACTCACCCAAAGAAGATCAAAACTGCTGACGCTTATATTGACGCAGTTGGTATTGGTGATATCGAGGTCCAAACATTCATGGGAGATCAATCCCATCCTGGCCGATTCACAAATGTTCTTCATGTGCCCTGCTTAAACGAAAATCTTCTATCTGGCTGACAACTTGCAAAGAATGGTCTCAGAACCATTATTGAGGATGATCGCATTGACATCGTAAATTCCAAATCTGGAAGAGTTGTTAATCACGCATACCCACACGGAAGTCTCTATAGACTCCGGGTAAAGATCATGTATCCCAAAACCACAAAGTTTTGTCAAGTCGAAGTTGCAGAGGATGATGAGCATGCACTCACGACCCAAACAATGTCAACTTCCAAAGCCAGCCTAGCCCTATGGCACCAGAGGCTTGGACACGTTACCAAGGATACAATCCTAAACATGGAGAAACATGGGTCAGTGGGCGAAATGGAAATTACGGAGAAAGGAAAGGGACGCTGCATACCTTGCATAATGGGAAAGCAAACACCTGATCCAATCCCTAAATCCACCTCAACCTGCTCATCCGAACCACTAGGCCGAGTCTTTAGCGACTTATGTGGCCCAATCACTCCTGAAACCCGCGAGGGTCACCGTTATTTCATCACTTTCACCGACGATTATAGCTGGTACACCCATATCGGACTTGCGAAGACCAAGGACTCAGTGCTAAATCTATTCAAAGCCTGGAAAGCGAAAGCTGAAAAGGAATCTGGAAGAAAGGTTAAAACCCTGCACACAGATGGAGGCGGCAAATACACATCCACCGACTTCAAAACTTACCTTGAGTCCAAGGGAATCACTGTGAGGTCTTAGGGTGGCTCAG